GGGGCTAGAGAAGCCTGTCGGGGCTGCCTGTGCTTACCTGCTGCAGCCCGGCTTGGCCAAGTACTTATTTCCCCGGTGGTTTGGTTTGGGCTGGAATTGGCCCTGATGAAGCAAGGACAGCAGCTGGGAGATTTGCTACAAGACAGGAAAAATCTGTTGACTCCACACAATTCCGACTCAGCACACTTCCTCGCCGGATGTTTCCCTCAATGCTGGTGCTTTCTTTTTATAGTCTTTCCTCCAGCTTCAGATGTTTGTGTGATCAGAGGGGGGGATGGTGCGTGGTGAACAGTGACAGGCAGGGACCTGTGCAGGCATGTTCCCTGCTTTGCCATGTCACCCCAGGACCTGGGTGTCTGAGGGAGAGAATTGGGGACCCTCTGGGCCCATTTCCCTCACTGTCATTCCCCCAAATGACCTGTTCCTGATGGTGTCTATGGGGATGGGGGTGAAAAGGGCATTTCCTGATCATAAATTCATTATTACTTTGATAAGGATTATCTTAAAGAGTTATTTCCCCCCTTCAGCAGTATTCAAGCACTCAGATGATTTTTGTGGTCCAGATGTAAGACTATGTTGTAGAGAAGGAAAAATGGTGTCATTTAATCATTCATTTATTCATCCTTTCATTCATCTGACAAGTATTTAATAAGTGCTTGTTTGTGCTCACTATGGGAATAAGAATGAGAATAAGGCCACTGCCTGTCCTGAGGGAGCTCACAGTCTGTCAGGGAAGACAGGGCACAGAGGTTATTACTATAGGGGGTTGCACTGGGGTTGGGAAAGGATGGGGGGCATCTGTGGGCTCAGAGGAGGTCCCCTCACCCAACTTGGAGCAAGGAGGAAGTTGTGGGGTGGAATGGGGGAAGTTTGTTTATTTCTATAATTTTTTTTTTTAAAGATTTTATTGGGGAATTGGGGAAGAGTTGTTGTTCTTCAGTGTTCATTGTGTAGGGCGCCAGTCGCCATCTGGCTTCCCGTCGGCAGCTTGTGGCCTCTAAGCCCAAGGTGCTGTGTTCAATCTTAGTTGCAGGAGGGCGTAGCCACCATCCCATGTGGGAGTCGAACCAGCAGCTTTGTTGTTAAGAGCACACGCTCTATCCACTGAGCCATCCGGACGGCAGCTCAGCTCAAGGTGCTGAGTTCAGTCTTAGTTGTGGGTGGGCGTAGCCCACCATGGAACAGGCAATCTTGTTGTTACACCAGCTGAGCCATCCTGTCACCTATTGGCAGCTCAGTGACAGCTCAGCTCAGGCCCAGCCTCACTGGCCCATGTGGGAATCGAACTGGCGGCCCTGTTGCTCAGAACCTGCGCTCTTAAGCCAACTCTTAACCAACTGAGCCACTCGACCGGCCCTCTATAAATGTTTAAGTTCATACTACATGTCAGGCACCTTTGCTGAGACCCACAGGAGTTTGGCAAGTGGAGAGATGGTGAGGGCCTGGGTAAGGGATGAAAGGTGTTTCAGACAGAAGGCAGTGATGCTGAAAGGCTGGAGGAGATGACTGGAGAATGGGGCAGAAGCCTGGCGAGAGAGCAGGACCAGACCCTGCAGGACCTTGTGAGGAGAAGGCAACAGACCAAGTCTTGGGAGGCTGAGTTCTAGTTCAAGGTCATTTCTAGCTTATGTAATGTCAGGCAGGTTTTTAGACCTACTCAGATCATAGTTTCCTCATCTCTAAGGTGGAGCTAGAAATACCTGCCCAGCCTTCTTCACAGGGTTGTCAGGATTAATTAGGTGGTTTGAAAGTTAGAAATACTCCACAAATGCAAGGAGTTTAGGTTGTTACTCCTAGAAATAGTACCTTTGCCTCCTAAGCCCACCCCCGCTCCTCCCTGAGAAGGCCCATTCCACCCCTATGGGCAGCTCAAGACAGAAAGTGCCAACCTCAGAGGAGAGTTAGAAGGGGGGGGGAGATGGCCAGAACTGGGGTTTCAGTGTGACTTGGGAGGGTCAGCGTCCCATTGCCTGCCTCAAGGCACGTCCCACCTCCTAAGCCACCTGCCACCCTTTTCCCTAGAGACAGCCTATATTTCAGGGACACTCCCTGAGTGCCACTTCCTGACCTGAGCGCTGTCAGGGTCACTTCACAGAGTCCATATTCTAGAGTCAGTTGGACTCTGGTTCAAATCCTAAATCTGCCCCTGCACCAGTTTCCATCTGTGAAGCCTTGAGGAATTATTTAAGCATTCTGAGCTACAGTTTCCTCAGCAGTAAAAAATGGAATAGTAATGACACCCAGGTCATATAATGATTGTGGTTATAAGGATTAAATGAGTAAAAGTATATAAAACACTTATTAATAGATCTTATGATAAGTGCATAATAACTATCAAGTTGTATATAATCTCCTTTAATTCTTACAGTAACCCAAGGAAAGAAATATCATTACACCCATTTTGCAGATGTGGAAACTAAGGCTCACAGGGGCTACACAGCAATTGGTGGTAGGGCTGGGATTTGAACTTGAATCTGACTCCACTATGGCACCCTGCTGCTGGAAAGACACAAGCTTTAGGCGAGCTGCCTCTTATCCTTAAGTTGATCCCAAATGGGCACCCTTCTTTCCATCACCCCAGTGGAATTACCCACAGTGCTTGCTCTAGGCTGTCTCTGTTTACCAACAACCAGTACAGTGTTTGGCACAAAGAGCTCATTCAATAAGCATTTGATGAATGAATGAATGAATGAATGAATGAATGGCTCTGGGCAAACTCTGGGGCTGCATAGAGCCCAGGGCAAGACTCCTAAGAAGGCAGCTGGGCCCTCTCCAGGTGGCTTCCTGGGGAGGGGGTGGGGGAAGGAAGCTGTGTCCTTGATCCACAGGAAACCTCAGCTGATGGCCTAGCCAAACAGAAGTGTGCCTTGGATGGGCAGCCTGGCACAGGGAAAATTATCTGGGGTGCAGAGGAGCAGATATGGGTGTGAAATTAGGCACCATCTCTGACAATGTTTCCCATTTACTAGACAATGTGTCTAGTAAATCCTAGGTCTCTAGACACTCTGCCATTCATTGTCCTATTTAATCCTCAAACCCTGGGAGATAGTAGACATGGTAAGTATGGCATCACAATTCTCATTTTATAGATGAGGAAAATGAGGCTCAGTTGTTAAAGGACTTGCCCAAGGTTGCCCAGCTCCTACATGGCTATGCTGAAATTTGAGCCCAGATCTGCCTAACTCCGAGATTCCAAGGTGGTTTCCACTGCCCCATCCTGTAGACAAAGCTGGCAGGCTCTGGGGTCTCAGGCAAATCAAATGCAGCCCCTCAGACTGGGGGCAATGATGCCCATGCCAGCCTGCTTCCCAGGGAGGTTGCCCAGGTGGAGATGGAGAAAAGCTTTGCAGAAGTTATCGTCATCATTTACTGGATGCTGTCTATGTGCCAAACACTATTTTGGAGGTTTTAAGTACACTCATTTTCTCTTTAAGCAAACTTAGGAGATGGGTGCTGTTAACAGGGACATCTTCCACAGAGAAGCCGGGTAACTTCCCTGTGGCTCACAGCCAGGAAGAGATGGAGCCAGGATTTGAACCCAAATTAGCTTGCTCCAAAGCTAATACCCTTAATCACTACCTCTGCTGCATGTCTACTTGTGCCAGGCTCTCTGAGTAAGTATTTTATAGGAATTAACTGATCAAATACTCAGGACAACTCTGCGAGGCAGATGCTCTTACCATCATTCCTATTCTACAGATTGGAAAGCTAAGGCTCAGAGACAGTAAGTAATTTGTCTAGGCTCACACAGGCGAAATCCTGTTGACCCCAGAACTATCCCCTGAACCAATGTATTCAATGTATCATCAAGTGCCCGGTGAGCCTAAGGAATGGGTGTGAGGATTGTGAGGGTGGAGGGGATGTCTGATGCTGTTGGTGGTGCTCCAGGGGTAACCAGAGTGAGAGCTGCCCGCGCTGAGGTACCTGAACAGGAGAAGAATCCACAGTGAGCTCCTCTATGGGGTTCCTCTCCGCGAAGGCAGCCACAGACAGCCGGACCAGGCTCCGCAGGATCTGACGGGGGCCTGACTCTTTCTCAGGGGCCACTTTGCCATTGAGATGCCGCTGTCGCCTCAGGGTTGCCGAGGAGCCTGGTGGGCTCAGCAGGGCCTCTTCCCTTCCCTGATCTCCAGGAAGCCTCCCTGTGGGGCTGCCTGCAACCTTCAGGGGCCTTGAGTGGGGCTGGCCCATCGCAGGCTGGGGCTCGGGAAGGCTCAGGTTCTCCCGGGAGGTGTTCCTCTGCCTGGGATGGTTGAAAAGGAGGTTGACAGTGTCCTGCAGCACCTCTCGGCTCTCGGCCAGTGTTCCCTGGTTGCCTTGGTTCCGCAGGGTCCTGTACAGAGTTGGGGTAAGGTGAAAGGGCGTCTGCAGGCAGGGGTCCCAGCCTGCTTCCATCATCGCTTCCTCGCTCACGTCCTTGAGGGGCTGCCTGACTTCAGCAGGCTCATCCACCTGGCCCTTGAGCACAGGCACAAGGTGGATGTCTGCCTTTTGAATGTGTTTCTGGGGCCTCTTGGGCTGGTGGCGGTAGGTGGACTCTGCCTCCCGACAGTTGTAGGCCCTGTTGTCCTTCTTCTCCGTCCGGCAGATGGACATGATCAGAGCCAAGATCAATCCAAAGATGGCCAGCAGGACGACCAGACAAATCACCGTTAGCACCGATGTGCTCAGGGCCCCAGGCTCACGGGGCGAGTCCCTCAGGTGGTCCACACTGGTGACGAACAAGACCCTCAACAGGGCTTGGGTCTGCAAGGAGGGGCTGCCATGGTCTTCCACCACTATCTCCAGCTCCCACTCACTCCCAATGAGGCTGCTGGCATTGGTGATGTTGATGAACAACTGCCCCAGGTGGGGGCTGAGGACAAAGAGGTGGGCTTCGTTCCCACTCCGAATGCTGTAGAGGACTTCTCCGTTTGCCCCTGAGTCTGCGTCTCTTGCTACAATGGTTGCCAAAAGGAATGGCTGGGAGATGTGGGTAGCCAGTTGTGGTGTGTCAGTGCTCACTGGACCCAAGCCATTGGGAGTCTCAATGGGCACCAGAAGGTGGCCTGTGGAGGCATTAACCAGCACTGAGAGGCTGGCTTTTCCATCGCTGAGTGTGGGATGAATCACCTCTGGGGCATTATCGTTGGCATCCAGGAGGGTGACCCACACAGAGATGCTGGATGTGAGCTGGGGCTGTCCCCTGTCCTCCGCGATCACATGGAACTCAAAGCCAGTCATCTGTTCATAGTCCAGTGACCTCTGGGCAGTGACCTCTCCTGTGTCTGAGTCAATAGCTATCAAGTGAGAAACTGGAGAGTGCTGGATGCGGTATGAGATTTGTCCGTTCATGCCCAAGTCTGCATCATGAGCTTTGAGGGTAATGAGGTGAAGAGAGGGTAGATTGTTTTCCCGAGTGGAGACCTCGTACCTGCTCTTCTCAAACACAGGTGCATTGTCATTGGCATCACTGATTTGAATGCTGAGCTGTTTCTTGGCGGATAAGGGCTGGGGTCCTTGGTCTTGGGCCAATAGAGTGAGGTTATATGAGGGCCACTGCTCTCTGTCCAGTGTGGCGTTGGTTAGCAGCATGTATGTGTTGCCGTTGGTCCGTTTCAGCCTGAAGTGGCCCAGATCTTGGCTCAGCCAGCAGTGGACCAGGCCATTGTTTCCTGAGTCCAAGTCATTTGCCACGACGAGAGCAATGAAACTGTCCTTGGGAAGAGCCTCTGACACCAGTGACGGCTGGGAAGCCCACGTGATGTGGATAGTTGGGGCATTGTCATTGACGTCCAGAACCTTGATGAGAACTTTGCAGTGGGCTGGGATGGGATTGGGACCCAGGTCCCTTGCCTGGACATCCACCTCGTAGGCAGGATTCCTCTCGTAGTCTAGGGGTTGACGCAGAATCACCTGACCTGTCTTGGCATCGATGCTAAAGGTGTCCAGCACCTCTGGAGGCACATGCTTACTGAGGAAGAACTCCACCTCCCCGTTGGGGCCTTGGTCAGGGTCTGTGGCGGTCAAGTTTATGAGGAGGGTACCAGGGGCAGCATCTTCTTGGATTTCTAGTGCCAGTGAGCTCTCAGCAAACACAGGGCTGTTGTCATTGGAGTCCAAGACGTTGACTTTGACCAAGCTGGTTCCTGACTTGGGGGGATTCCCACTGTCATAGGCAGTTAACACCAGATCAAAACACGAGTGGATTTCCCGGTCCAGCTCCTTCACCACCACAAGTTCTGCATGTTTGGTCTCATCGGGCCCCACGATGACATCCAGGGCGAAGTGCTCACTGGGAGACAGGGAGTAGGAGTGCAGAGTGTTGGGGCCAGTGTCCGGGTCGTGAGCTCTGTCCAGAGGGATCCTGGTGCGCAGAGAGGCACTCTCAGAGATTTCCAGCTCCTGCTCGCCTTTGGGAAACTGTGGCTGGTGGTCATTGATGTCCAGCACCTGGATCTCCACATGGATCAGAGCCAAATCCCCTGTGGCAAGCACGTCAAAGGAAACCAGGCAGGGATCCCGCTGCCGGCAAAGCTGCTCTCGGTCTAGCCGTCTCCCTGTGCTGAGCCGGCCGTCCTCAGGGTCCACCTGGATGGGGAGTGCCTGAGGCAGCTGCAAGACCTGGAAGGCAGCCCCCGCTTGCGCACGCCTCTCCTCCCAGCCCAGTTCCTGGGACAGTTTCCCTATCACCGTGCCAGACGGCACTTCCTCTGACACTTGGTATTTCACAGTGAGAGTGGCCACCTCCTGACAATCCCCTGAAAGGAGCAAGCAGCCACCTGATCCCAAAAGCCACAGCAGAAGTTGCAGAAGTTGCATTATGCTTACCACCAAGAATGGGCTTGATTCAGAAACCGTTAGAGTTCTTCGAAGGCTGGGAAGTCCTCCAGTGTTTCCAGGGGGGCTTGATTAGCCCTGTTCTCCTGCCCCCAGACCTGTTGGCACAGCCTTGTCCCATAATTAGAGGATGATGGAGCTAGCAGGATTCCTAGGCAAGGCCATTTTCATCTGAAGAGATCCGAGAAGTCCCAGCACTGATGAGGTAAGATTGCCAGGGGAGACCCTGCACAGGGTTGGTACACTCCAGTCAATGATGGACACGAGCCGGTCCAAGAGGGACTTGACCCAGTAGAGCAGGATGTGGGGATCTGACTTCCAAACAGTTGCTAGGCTGGGGAAACAGAGAAGCAGCTTTTTCCTATGGAAACTCCACCTACAGGAAAAGGGAGGGCTGTGAGTTTCAATGCCAATTAGAGAGAGAATGCTTCCCGTGAAGCTGAGTGGCCTATTGCTGAGGAGGATGTGGCAGGGGCTCTGGGAACAGGCCGGATGGGAAGGTGCTGTCCATGCAAGGTGGCCACTGAGGGAAACGGAGCCCTGTGTGGCCAAGTGAACAGAGAGCCCGAGCCCGTGCCTGCTGCACAGGGCCTGAGGCCCGTCCTGGGCAAGTCATGCTCTCTGTCTCTCTTCCCACCCTCGGCTCTCTTTGTTTCCAGTGTTTCCTCATGATTCCTCTCCCATTCTGATCTTTTCCCTCCACTCATCTACCTTTCATCTTGACTCTGTCCTGATCACCCATTGTTGTCTCATGGGAAGCAGCTGTCATTAAGAGACTGGCCTCCAGACCAGAGCCAAACTGCCTGGGTTCAAATCCTGACCCTGCAGTTTACTAGATGTGTCATGTGGACAAATCACTGAGCCTCTCTGGGTCTCCACTGCCTCCTTTTTAGAGTGTTAATGGGAATAAGAATAGCAGCCCTCTCAGCAGGAAATTGTGAGGATGAAATGAAATGATGCATGAAGGGCCTGGGCCTGGCCCGGAGTCACAGGCAATGACGTTATTGTTAGCGGCGGGTGTTACGATCTGCATAGCTCCTCCCACCTGGTGGCTGCCTCTGGCTCTTACACTGGCCCTCTGGCAGTCCCTGCCCACACAGATCCATGAAGGTGTTCATGGCCTTGGATCCTGAAGCACAAGGACTTCCCTGGCCTGACGGTGTGGCTTCCCTCCCCCTTCCCTCCTGACTTCCCAGCCTCATGAGGCCCATTGTTCTCTGCATCTGGTCCAGCCTGAGCCTCTGTCTGGGGAATCCCCCAGCCTCCGTCTCCTGTGTCTCGGAGGTTTTACACTTTTCCTTCTCCCACACTTTCCTCTCTCTTTTCCTCCCTTCCTCCAATTCTTCTCTCCCCGTTGCTGTTTATGTTAGAGTCCCCTGAATAATAACTCCCTTGCTGCACCCCCAACACTCCTCCTGGATGTTTTAAGGTGTGCCCATCCTCCCATGCTCCACCTTGCAGATGCAAGACCCAGGAAGGAGGCAAGTGGGCAATTTGCTTGGATGGCCTTTGCGGTGGCTTGTTTTTTCTCAGTTCCCTTCTCGGTTTGCTGCCCCCAGCCTTCTCCCAGGCTTATACCCTACCTTGAGGTTAAGTACAAAGGTTTATAAAGCATTTGAAGTGGTGGGCATTAAGGGCCAGCTTCTCCTAGATGGGAGTTTGCAGCTGAGTCCTTAAGGCTGGAGGTGCCCTGTTGGGACACAGGAGACCCCCAATGAGGGCCTGTTGGCTGGGAGGCCTGTGGCCATTGGGACCAGGGCAGCTAAGGGACCTTGCTAGGCTAAGCCCCACCTGTGCTCCCTCCCTTCCCCTGTGTCTTTTCTTTCCCACACCCTCTCCTTCACCCCCATATACCACTCCTGGAGGCTTCTCAGCCATCTTACTGAAGTCTGGTAAGCCACAGCGCGGAGCCATTTCCTACAGCATGACTCTGGAGACAGAATATTCACTAGCTTGGAGACATAGCACAAGTCACTTAGCCTCTCTGGGCCTCAGTTTCCTCACTTTCCTAGAGTGTGGCTGTCACCCATCTCATGAGTCTGTGGTAAGGATTCAATGAGGTGATGCCCGTAAGGACTTGGCATAGTGCCTGGTACAGGGAAACCTCTCAATATAGGGGAATGTTCTCTTGTTTTATTTGCCACGTTTTATGCCTCATAGGCAATTGGTGAAGATGGTCTTGCATTTGTCCCTTCCGTTTTTTCTCTGCCTCCTGTCCAGGAAAGCTCATTTCCCAGAGCTCCCTGTGCTTCAACGACCTACATTGTCTTGTGCCACCCTCACAACCATGCCTTCGGGGTGAAGAAGCTGAACATAGAGGATTAGGTGACTTGCCCTAAATCGCACAGATTTGCCCTCCCGTGCCCCCCTCCCCCCGCCCCCAGAAAGCCCCTCCGGCTGCACTCTGGAAAATAGATTGGAAGGGAACAGAGAAGAGGGAGGGAGGGAGGCCCGTTGGGAGTAATGCAGGGGAGCCTTGGTGCAGAAAACTCTGGTGCTGAGGTGCTGAGAATGTTTCCAGAATGCCATCTGGTGGCCAAAGGCAGAGAAAAAGATACAGAAGCAGGGAGGTGGGTGCCGAGTTCACAAATAGCCACAGCTCCAGACTTGTGCTGCGTAAAATGCAGTGGGAGTAGGCACACATGATGACAATCATTTCTCTCAATGGGAAACAATGTGACCCAATGACCACAGGATGGAAGTCATGATTTCACAGGGGCTAACATTTATATTCTTGAAAGGACATTGTTATATATGTGTATGGTGTGTGTGTGTGTGTGTGTGTTGCTTTGGGACAACGGATGCAAAAAATGGACTCATAGGACATGAGGAAGCTTGAATTTGGATTTCATAGGTGGTTTTATTGTTTGTTTGTTTTATTCACATTGGGGGTGTGACGCTAAGACAGCCCTTTAAGAATCCAAAGCCAGCAAACAAGGCCTCAGACTTTTAAAGGTGACTATCTCTGGGAATGGGGTCCCCTTTAGAAATTTTCTCTGGTCTTTTCTGGCTGCAGGGGTCAGTTGATCATTGGCAGCTACCATGTCAGGGTGTGAATGGAGCTGTCACTTGAATTTGTATAGAAAACCTTCATCACCCTAAGATTTTTTTTTAAATTGGGGAATTGGGGGGATGGGAACAGTGCTGGGGAATTGGGGGAAGGGGAACAGACAAGTTGCTGTTGTTTTTTGTTCTTCA